GTTTATGCTTTAGGGATCTTGCAAGAGATAATAGCTAAGTATAAGGAAGCTAAAGACGCTAAAATAAAGTGATCATCATTAGCTAACAAATTCAGTCTCCTATTAGCTACTTGAGCATTACTAGGAGTTCTGGGGACAGAAACAGAAGGGACCACAATCAAGCACACAAGCATCAAAGTCAGCCAAAAATCAGTATTTCTGATTACAGCTTAATTAGTGCAAACCACTCCTAAACTTTTTGTTATTTCCTGCCAAATTAAAACCAAAGCTGGAAAATTGATCATATCAGGATAGAAAATTAGTTTTTCTGCTTATGGCTTCATCTGCAGGGTTGGATTAATACTCTTTGTTGAAAAAAATAGTAGATAAAAGTAGAACATTTAGAGATGAGAAAGGAGAATCTTGATCACTAAAATCACTGCACTGATGCCAACACAACAGGAAGATTTACAGTGTAGTCACATTAAGATATAGATAAAAATCACTGGACTTATTATACAACTGGATTTATTAAGACCTTCCAGTTACTACTGTTGTAGGAACTTTTTAAGTAACATATTCAAATATGCCATAAGATTTAGCTTGCTTTCAATAATGACAGAAAGTAGGAAAGGAAACTCTGTTTTCATGTCAGTAATCTGCTTTCATTCTTGCATAGGTAGTTTGTTTGCATTCAGCCTTGCTGCTAGACTTGGACTAGCCATCCTTAAGTTTCATAACTAACTAACTTTCTATCTATCCTTATTGATATTTGAGGTAGAAGTTGTACCTATGCACACTGTAAAATTCTCTGTCACAAGAGATTTTTTTTCTCATCATTAGTAGGAGTAATGCCAGCTTGAAAAGGAGGTACCACCAATTCCACCAGACTTCCAGGCAGCAGCAATGAATAGGTAAATGTACTGAACACAAAAATATTCTACCAAGCATTCAAACATGAGAATGCCCTGGCAAAGATAACAAGCATGTTTCTACGGGTATACAAATTTCATTGTGCTCTGTACTTGACCAATAAGCAAATTTGGGAAAACAATAAAAGTATTATTTTTTTCTGCACGAATAGATTTAAAAGAGTGTGGAGGAAACAGGTGGTTCAGGAGGGAAAGCCAGGACTCTACAAGTGGAAAAAGGCAGGTCAGACCTAACCTCTGATATCTTTTCAGGATACAAAATAAAGGAGCAGTTTGTATCATTTCAGAGGAAGCAAATATCATAATATATCGTCACAGACACATTGATGGGTTCACATAAAAAAAATAAATCCATCAACAGACAAGGTTTGTCTGACATTGAGTTTGGGGAGCTCTGTCTGATGTCTCTGGCCTAACCAGCGGATGGAAATTTTATGAACTTGGACAGCAGAGGTTTCGACTTTGTGGGTGAAACTGTGCAGCAGAAACTGTTTCATTTGATTCAATTCATTGGAGTATCGATTTTCAGGGTTGATGATTTATTAACGTAACATTCAGTACAGTTGGGTCTCCCAGTAATGATGATGCTGTTACTGACACTGAAAATAAATCACTGTAAATCTTTAAGAGAGCAGGAATGCTGAGCTAACAAATTGGATGTCCTGGATTTGCAGAAGCTTGGGAAATCCCACTAAGCGATATAGCGACCTTTTTTTTTCTGTGCAATGTTCTCCCTTTTGACAACATTGGACAGAGGACAAGTTTATTTAAACACACCAGGGAGTTTATAGCCTCATTTTTTACCTAAAGAATCAACTAAACACACAAAGGGTGCATTACACATCTGATTTAGCTTCTTCACTACAAAAGCAATCCTACATGACCTAGAAAAATGAACAGCTAACCATTGGTGCAAATGCTTACCTGTCTTGTGTGGAATACTCACAAATTTAACCATAAACAACATAAGAGATGGATAAACATCCACAGGGATGGACAAGTGAATAGAAACTAACCACATTTTTAAAATACTATAGTATGATCTGTGTGCTTCTCTGTGACACTGTTTGGCTAAAAATAGGCATATCTTCTACCGAATACCTCAGCATGTTAGATGGACTCAAAAGATTCTGGCATTTCCTCTGTGGAGATAAAAAAATCATTTCAAATACACAAACCAAGAAAGAAATGTCAGTAGAATACATTCTCTTTGTACACTTTTCGTCCAGTCCCAACAGGAATGACAGAAAGAATCTTGCAAGAATCAAACTGGTCCTACCTTAACTGCGATTAAGTGACCAATAAACAACCATCTTTTCCCATACAAATGGGGTGCTTCAGATTTAATGCAGTTTCCACTGAACAAAACACTCACATTTATCACAGTGCTTTATGTACTGGCATAAAGTATAAAAAGGACTAAATTTAAGGACTTGAACAGACATGGAAATTAATTTGTCTTTTGGTCCAGTCACTCGCTGTACTGTACCTTCAAATCTGTTCAAATCAAAACAGAGCACTGCTGCAGCAGCTGTATGATACCCCATCTTATGGATTCTTCTGCATCTCTTATATAACCTTATTCTCCCTGTTGGATTTCCTTTATTTCTATAGGTCAGTTTAGAAAAGCTCTGGGGACACAGAAGACAAGTATGGGTTCCTCTCTCCCTAGTCATCTCTTTCATGTCTACTTGGGAGATGTCTCACAGACCATCTGCCACTGAAGCGTAGGCAACTTTACAGACCTGGAGGATTTTCCTTTACTAGCACTTTCTCACTGTTTTATCTGCTTACGATAGTTTTCAACATACACGATTTTAATTAAGGCTATACTTGGAGGTAGGCAGGTCTTTGCATGGGCAAATCAGCGCAATCAGGATCATCAAGACTCCACACACCATGGAAATAATAGTACTGCTTATCAACCTACTGCTGTATTATTACTCCATAGTCATTTTTAGACTGCCTGAGACATGATCTCAGCCAAAATGTAGACTGTCCGTTGCAATAAACAAAGATACATTAAATACTCAGTAGCACTATACAGTACAAAAATGCATTTCTACAACCTAAATTACAGGAAGCTAATAACTCCACAGGGGTGTCATGGCTTCTTTTTTGCCAGGTCAACCAGTTTTTTTTTTTGCTTCCTTACAAACTTTATTTTTAAACATATCTTTTTTTAGTGTGAGAAAATAACTTTGGTAAGCATAATATACTACAAGCAATTCCACCTGTTTAAATTGTAGCCCAGGCACTAGTAAATAAAAATACCTCAAAAATTGTCTGCAATTAGGCAAAACTGTAAATTAGCTGAAAAACTGAGAACTAATTTGTCACATTTAGTCACAGCCTCAACAAGAGGCGTAAAGAAGAATCTTCCCTCAAGGACCCAAAAGTCCCTGCTATGCTACTCTGCAGTTGTACTGAAGAGGTGATCAATTAGCTAAAGCTCATTAAAAGATTCACCACACTCTTCCTGCACCAGGGTCATACCAGCTATTGCAATACAGAGGAGGAGATCAGCAGGCATGTAGTACTCTTCTGTACTCTCCCTTCAATGAGTCAGGGACTAATGTTGCAAGATGTTAAGCAAACCTCTGAAGAATGTGGGTAAAATTTCATGAAAAATATAAGCAACCTAGAATTAAATAGATGTAAAAATAGGGAGTGGCAACAAATCTCCATATTTCTTTCTGTGTTTATTCAAGATGGATCCTCTCTCTGACTGGCATTCACACAATCCAATCCCCTTGCTTCCTCAGTAAATAAGAAGCAAAATGAAAAAGACATATATATACATCTGCAGAAAACTCAGAGGTTATTCACTGTTTGGGCATATGAAGGTTTTACTGATTAAGCAGGATTAGGTCTATAAACATTATTCTTTTAACTTTTGTATAAGGTAGAGGTCTTGGGGCTAAAAATCTGTGCTTGGCTGAATATAACATATGAGGATCTCAAACTCAACAAAAATACCAAATTGGCTTCAAATACGAGAGGAGGAACTAGTAGAAATACCAGATGTGTAAATGAAACTTGTTTAAATGTAAAAAAATAGACATGAATCATATTAATCTTAAATCCTGGCAGCTCTATCATGAGCTTTGTGACAGAGTAACATGGATGTCGTGGTTTCAGCCGAAATCACCACAACCGAACTAACAGATGGCCCTTCCGCCCCCCCCGAAAGAGGAGAGGAAGAGATAAGGAGATTGAAAAGTTTAGAATTAACTAAACTACTTTAATCAAAAATAATATTAAAATAAAAGAGAAGAAAATAATGAAATCGATACAACACATATACAAAACCGTATCAAGCTCCCAGGATGACAGTCCCGTCACCAGCAGGCACTGGGGAAGTCCCAGAGTGGACTCGGTGATGGACAGGAGCAGGATTCCAGCTCTGGAGTCAGGAGCACATGGGGATCAAAGGCAGATGAACAGACAGGGTCCTCTTCGGACGTCGGCCATTGCAGGAAGAGAGTTGACCCTTTGATCCCTCAGCTTTTATACTGAGCATGGGGCAGATGGGATGGAATACCCCTGTTGGTCAGGTTTGGGTCACCTGTCTTGTCCGTTCCTCCCCACAGATGTGACCCCTCTACGTTTTTCCGTTTCCGACCCTCTAAGGGGCAAATAACGAAAATTGGCTGACCTTGGTTGTTATAGCAATAAGTATAAGCAAAGGCCTCTCTGCACACCATTCCCTGGCATGTAGCACAAACATTGGTCTTATCACTCTGAGAAGGAACAGTTTTCTCCACAATATGCCGTTAATTTCAGAGAGTTAGAAAAGGCCTAACTAAAATGGAAAGTTACAGAACACAAAATTGATCCGGTTTTACCTCAAACCGGGACATTCGACCCCTTTTTCCATACCATTTGCATCATGCTTATATCACAAATACTATTATCTATAAAATCTATACACACATACATATATAGATACATAAATTACTTGGTTATCTCTATATGAAAAATTAAGTCAATTTCATAGCAGATCCGGTTCTCAGGGTAGGAAAGATGTTGTGAAATTCATTGCGGTTCGTGCCCGTGGGTATCACGTTACCGGGACATTCCACCCCTTTTTCCATACCATTTGCATCATGCTTATATCACAAATACTATTATCTATAAAATCTATACACACATACATATATAGATACATAAATTACTTGGTTATCTCTATATGAAAAATTAAGTCAATTTCATAGCAGATCCGGTTCTCAGGGTAGGAAAGATGTTGTGAAATTCATTGCGGTTCGTGCCCGTGGGTATCACGTTCATCTCGGAGAAGTTCTACTGGACGCCACCTAATCAATCTGGCTAGGTTTCATCATTGCAGTGTTATCCTGAAAAACACTTATAGAACACTGTTAGTATTATAGACAACTAACATCATACTCAGAATTAAGTATTCTCACCCAGGGTCAAATTCCCTTGAGGTACACATTGAACTTCTCCATTCTTCAGCATCACCCACCAAGTACATCCAGGTCCTTGAGCAAAAACAGTCCCACGAATGGGTTTGCCTTTGCCCGAGGCAGGAAAAACCCAAACAGTTTTCCCTAACATATTCCTTTCATGCACCACAGGGACTTTATCCCCTTCTACATTATGTAAAAGATCTGATTGAGCAGGACCAGCTCGATTGATGGATCCCCTGGTGTTAACTAACCAGGTAGCTTATGCCAAATGCTTGTCCCAATTTTTAAAGGTTCCACCCCCCATTGCTTTCAGGGTAGTTTTCAATAATCCATTGCATTGCTCAATTTTGCCAGAAGCTGGTGCATGATAGGGGATATGATATACCCATTCAATGCCATGTTCTTTTGCCCAGCTACTTATAAGATTATTTTTGAAATGAGTTCCATTGTCAGATTCAATTCTTTCTGGAGTACCATGTCGCCACAAAACCTGATTTTCAAGGCCCAGGATGGTATTCCGGGCATTGGCATGGGGCACAGCATAGGTTTCCAACCATCCGGTGCTTCCTTCCACCATTGTAAGCACATACCGCTTACCCTGGCGGGTTTGAGGGAGTGTGATGCAGTCAATCTGCCAAGCCTCCCCATACTTGTATTTCAACCACCGACCTCCATGCCACAAAGGTTTTAACCTTTTAGCTTGCTTGATTTCGGCGCATGTTTCACACTCGTGGATAACCTGCGCAATAGCGTCCATGGTTAAATCCACCCCTCGGTCACGAGCCCATTTGTACGTTGCATCTCTTCCTTGATGACCTGAAGTGTCATGGGCCCACCGAGCTAAGAACAGTTCACCTTTATGTTCCCAGTCTAAATCTGTCTGGAAAATCTTAGCTGCTTGGTCCGCTTGCTGATTGTTTCGATGTTCCTCAGTGGCTCGACTCATAGGTACGTGAGCATCTACATGGCATACCTTCAAGACCAGCCTCTCTAGCCGGTCAGCAATATCTTGCCATAATTCAGCAGCCCAAACAGGTTTACCCTTGCACTGCCAGTTGCTCTGCTTCCATTGTTTTAACCATCCCCACAGAGCATTTGCCACCATCCATGAGTCAGTATAGAGATAGAGTATTGGCCACTTCTCTCTCTCAGCAATGTCTAGGGCCAGCTGGATAGCTTTTACCTCTGCGAATTGACTTGATTCACCTTCTCCTTCAGTTGCTTCTGCAACTCGTCGCGTAGGACTCCATACAGCAGCTTTCCACTTTCGACGTTTTCCTACAATACGACAAGATCCATCAGTAAACAAAACATACTGTTTCTCATTATCTGATAGTTCATTATATGGTGGGGCTTCCTCAGCACGTGCTACCACCTCCTCTGGTGGCATTGTGAAATCTTCACCTTCGGGCCAATTTGTGATCACTTCCACAATTCCTGGACGATTTGGATTTCCTATTCGAGCTCGCTGTGTGATTAAGGCAACCCACTTACTCCAGGTAGCATCAGTGGCATGATGTGTGGAAGAAACTTTACCTTTGAACATCCAACTCAACACTGGCAATCGGGGCGCCAGAAGGAGCTGTACTTCAGTACCAATTACTTCTAAAGCAGCTCTAACTCCTTCACATGCTGCTAAGATTTCTTTCTCAGTTGGAGTATAGTTGGCCTCGGAGCCTTTATAGCCTCGACTCCAAAATCCCAGGGGTTGACCTCGAGTTTCCCCTGGTCCTTTCTGCCATAGGCTCCAGGTAGGGCCATTGTCTCCTGCAGCAGTATACAGCACATTTTTCATGTCCTGTCCTTTTCGGACTGGTCCAAGTGCTACTGCACGCACAATCTCTTGTTTAATTTGCTCAAAGGCTTGTCGTTGTTCAGGACCCCATGTAAACTCATTTTTCTTTCGAGTCACTACATAAAGAGGTTTCACAATCTGACTATAACCTGGAATATGCATTCTCCAGAAGCCCACAACGCCTAAAAAGGCTTGTGTTTCATTTTTGTTAGTAGGTGGAGACATAGCTGTTATTTTGTTAATCACGTCCATTGGAATACAGCACATTTTTCATGTCCTGTCCTTTTCGGACTGGTCCAAGTGCTACTGCACGCACAATCTCTTGTTTAATTTGCTCAAAGGCTTGTCGTTGTTCAGGACCCCATGTAAACTCATTTTTCTTTCGAGTCACTACATAAAGAGGTTTCACAATCTGACTATAACCTGGAATATGCATTCTCCAGAAGCCCACAACGCCTAAAAAGGCTTGTGTTTCATTTTTGTTAGTAGGTGGAGACATAGCTGTTATTTTGTTAATCACGTCCATTGGAATCTGGCGACGGCCATCTTGCCATTCAATTCCCAAGAATTGGATGTTTTGTGCAGGTCCCTTGACCTTACCTCTTTTCACAGCAAAACCTGCTTCTAGAAGAATCTCGATGATTTTCTTACCTTTCTGGAAAACTTCTTTTGCTGTATTACCCCATACAATGATGTCATCAATGTATTGTAGGTGTTTTGGAGCTCCACCTTTCTCCAATGCGGTCTGGATCAGTCCATGGCAAATAGTAGGGCTGTGTTTCCACCCCTGGGGCAATCGATTCCAGGTGTACTGGACACCCCTCCAGGTGAAAGCAAACTGTGGCCTGCACTCTGCTGCTAAAGGAATAGAGAAAAAGGCATTAGCAATGTCAATTGTAGCATACCACTTGGCTGTTTTCGACTCCAGTTCATATTGCAGTTCTAACATGTCTGGCACAGCAGCACTCAGTGGTGGTATGACTTCATTCAGGCCACGATAGTCTACGGTTAGACGCCAGTCACCATCAGACTTTCGCACTGGCCATATCGGGCTGTTAAAGGGTGAGCAAGTCTTGCTGATCACTCCTTGGGTCTCCAACTGACGAATCAGGTTCTGAATGGGAATCAGAGAATCACGGTTAGTGCGATACTGTCGACGATGCACTGTGGAAGTAGCAAGTGGTACCTGCTGTTCTTTAACCTTCAGCAGTCCTACCACAGAAGGGTCATCTGAAAGGCCAGGTAAAGTAGACAGCTGTGTAACACCATCAGTCTCTACAGCTGCTATACCAAAAGCCCACCGATACCCTTTCGAGTCTTTGAAATACCCACTCTTGAGGTAGTCTATGCCAAGGATGCACGGAGCATTTGGACCAGTCACAATAGGATGTTTTTCCCATTCATTCTTATTCAGACTCACTTCAGCCTCTAGTACAGTCAGATCTTGAGATCCTCCTGTCACTCCAGCAATAGTGACAGTTTCTGTCCCTTTATGATTCGATGGCATTAAGGTACACTGTGCACCAGTGTCCACAAGGGCTCTATACTTTCGTGGCTCTAATGTGCCAGGCCATCGAATCCACACAGTCCAATAAACTCGGTTATCCCTCTCCTCCTCCTGATTACCGGAGCAACTTGTCCCGGTTTCGCTGGCGCTGGGGGAGCAGCAGTGTCGGTGCCGGGAACTGGGGCAGTGACGGCGCTCGCTGCCGGGGCCGGAGCCGCCGGTGCCGCTGCGGACGGGGCCGGGGCTGGCTTGGCCTGTGCCGCGGGCTGTGGGGGGGCAGCCGGGGCCTTGGGAGCTGGAGTGGGCGCGGCCTTCGCCGGTGCCGCTGCGAGCGGGGCAGGGCAGGGATTACCGGAGCAACTTGTCCCGGTTTCGCTGGCGCTGGGGGAGCAGCAGTGTCGGTGCCGGGAACTGGGGCAGTGACGGCGCTCGCTGCCGGGGCCGGAGCCGCCGGTGCCGCTGCGAGCGGGGCAGGGCAGGGGCTGGCTTGGCCTGTGCCGCGGGATGTTGGGGGGCAGCCGGTCCCTTGGGAGCTGTTGTGGGCGAGGCCTTGACCGGTGCCGCTGCGAGCGGGGCAGGGCAGGGGCTGGCTTGGCCTGTGGCGCGGGTTGTTGGGGGGCAGCCGGTCCCTTGGGAGCTGTTGTGGGCGAGGCCTTGACCGGTGCCGCTGCGAGCGGGGCAGGGCAGGGGCTGGCTTGATTTGTGCCGCGGGCTGTGGGGGCGCAGCCGGGGCCTTGGGAGCTGTTGTGGGCGAGGACTTGACCGGTGCCGCTGCGGGGGGGCAGGGGCCGGGGCTGGCTCAGTCTGTGTCTCTGCTGCCTCTGTAATCGGAGGCTCAGTCTGTGTCTCTGCTGCCTCTGTAACCGGAGGCTCAGTCTGTGTCTCTGCTGCCTCTGTAATCGGAGGCTCAGTCTGTGTCTCTGCTGCCTCTGTAACCGGAGGCTCAGTCTGTGTCTCTGCCGCGTCTGTGGTAGGAGACTCAGTCTGTGACTCTGCTGCCGCTGTAGCCGGAGCCACGGTCTGTGTCTCTGCTGCCTCGAATTCCACCCATGTCTGAGTAGCAATACTGCACGCCGCACAACGCTCACTCCTGCACCAATACTTAATAATAATATATCCTGCCTGCATTACATTCAGTAAAATCAACAGCACTATCACGATTAAGTGACCATCACAAAGATCACAATGACCACAACAATCCTCCATAGAGCACACAGGTTTTACATCCCCCAATTCTGTTAGTATCACTTTGGGATAACCACTAACAGGCAAGGTAAACTTTCCCCAGGTGAAATCAGAAGTAAAATTAGCAACAGAATCCACCACCTGATGCCCAAGATATTCAGGTATCATAGCAATCCAACTGATCACATTACACATCTGGAAGCAAATCCACGTGAACATAGCACGCTTGACCCATCTCATCCAAACACAAAAAACAAATAAACCCTTCAATATATTCGACCAGTCAAACACCAGCGCATTAACAAATTTCATAGAAAGCTCTCTGACAACATAATATAAAATGTTCTGTAGGTAGGACCTGATGTAAGCTGTCGGTTCTCTCTAAACAAGCTGGAATTCAAACTATTCAGACAATCTTATCAGAGCTCAGGTTGTGCCACAATCGACTGCCCCACGTTGGGCGCCAATAAATCTGTTGTGGTTTCAGCCGAAATCACCGCAACCGAACCAACAGATGGCCCTTCCGCCCCCCCCGAAAGAGGAGAGGAAGAGATAAGGAAATTGAAAAGTTTAGAATTAACTAAACTACTTTAATCAAAAATAATATTAAAATAAAAGAGAAGAAAATAATGAAATTGATACAACACATATACAAAACCGTATCAAGCTCCCAGGATGACAGTCCCGTCACCAGCAGGCACTGGGAAAGTCCCAGAGTGGACTCGGTGATGGACAGGAGCAGGATTCCAGCTCTGGAGTCAGGAGCACATGGGGATCAAAGGCAGATGAACAGACAGGGTCCTCTTCGGACGTCGGCCATTGCAGGAAGAGAGTTGACCCTTTGATCCCTCAGCTTTTATACTGAGCATGGGGCAGATGGGATGGAATACCCCTGTTGGTCAGGTTTGGGTCACCTGTCTTGTCCGTTCCTCCCCACAGATGTGACCCCTCTACGTTTTTCCGTTTCCGACCCTCTAAGGGGCGAATAACGAAAATTGGCTGACCTTGGTTGTTATAGCAATAAGTATAAGCAAGGGCCTCTCTGCACACCATTCCCTGGCATGTAGCACAAACATTGGTCTTATCACTCTGAGAAGGAACAGTTTTCTCCACAATATGCCGTTAATTTCAGAGAGTTAGAAAAGGCCTAACTAAAATGCAAAGTTACAGAACACAAAATTGATCCGGTTTTACCTCAAACCGGGACATTGGATCTTCACTGTTCAGGGTTGGGAGAAGCAGTAGCTTGCTCCTCCTCATCTTCCTACTGCCAAAGGATACATGGAGCAAGAACAGGAGAGGTGGATTTTGCAAGTCCTGCCTCCGAAGCAAGGGTTGAGGGGAGGAGAGCAAATTCAGATGACTAGTTAGTCCAAAACTGTGGTCCAGTTCTAAGAATCTTATTTCCTTGCTTCTGCAAATGAGTTGCATGCACTACACTGAAATTCACGTACCAGTGATGTCTAAAGATTGCTTGATTGTGGTGGAACTAGAAAAGTTAAGCAGAGAATCAGAGAGGAAATAAACCTTGTTATTCTCATCATTTTTCATTTTCTACTAAGGACCTTTTCTGCCACTGACTTCTATACTCATACTAGGTATCTTCAGATCTCTGTACTCATATTTGATATGTTCAGCTGCTTGTAATTACCTTTGTAAGCCGAAATATCAGTATGGGAGCATTCACGCAGATAAAAAAAATTGCCCTAATTGAAAACCTGACTTGATTTACTTTGACAGTTCAAGTTGAGTAGCACTTACTCAGATGTGTAGCCACAATAAATTCAGGGGAGTGCAATTTACTTCTGTTTTATTCCAGATATGGCAACTCTGTCATATATAATTAATCTCCTTCACATCCTTCTACTCTGATGGACTTGACTCTCTGAGCTCCTTTGTCACCAGTACGTTAATGTCAGGGAGTCACTTTTTGCTGACAGTGACAAAGTCGTAAAATTAAGGTAAGTCTGTTCATCAGAGATGAGTCCAAAGGCATACAGGATTTGTCCCAGTCAATCTTCTTCAAGCCCCATGCATATGGGAGGTTGTAGAAAGATTCTCTGCAAAGGTTTTGGATCATGCTCTGTGTAAGTGACTGCTCTCAGAGGCAGTAAAGCAAGGATCGAAAACCAGAATTGGATTAGTATTTGTGCCACACACCTAGAAAGCTAAGTCAGTGGAGCTGCAACTGCTTTCCCTAGTCTCCCTTCACGAGCAGAAGGCCTAACTTAGGTGGTCTCAGATTTTCTCTGAATGCCTCCTACCACCTGTGAAACAGGGAACCTAGGGAGATGCATTAAACTACCCAGCTTATTTAGGTCCTTCAACCTGCATGATATAAATAGCCCGTCCACTTATCCCTTCAGATTTACTACAACCACGTGCAATGCACCTCATGATAGCAAAGTGTAGTCCCCGCACACATTTCAAGTGGGGTCATTCACTTGAAGTTAGGGAAGTCCTCTTGTATCTGACTGTATGTAAGCCTTTATGACCCCAAATCTGGCGTCTGTCTTACACAAGATGAATTTGTCTTGGCAGGTGCTTGATTGAAATTCCTGTTAGACTAAGGGGTGACCTATAATTATGAAGGAGTCCTCCTAAGAACTGTGAGAGATCAATTCTTCCCTTAACGCAGGCATCATTGCAATCAGCAGGAATTACAGTGAGAGAACAAGAGCCAGGCAGAAAAGCATAAACAGATTAAAACCAGAAGTGATTATTTTAGTAATTAAACATTTCTTAGCTGAAATTACATGAAATGCAAAAGCAGCATGAAAGGTCAGGAGAGATTTTTGAAAGAGTGCTCCAGAGGAAGGGAAGGGGAAAAAAAAGCAATTAAACACAAAGATAGAAGGTTATGATGCATAGAAGATTATTCCAAACAAGCGGCTGCCAGCGACAAACTGCATTGTTTTGAATGTTTAATTAATAAAATAATCTTTTTCATTAACCATTGCCACTGGGGAAAATGGATTGGAAAAAACAAGCAGCAAACAAACCAGACACATTTCTTACTTGCTTGTATTTACATAAATGCAGAAATCTGAAAAGCAAAACTAATTATCTCCAATATTAAGGGATCAGAATGGATATGTGGTTATTACTAATGCTGCATGTGCAGGTCAAATTTCCTAAATAGCACCAGAATACAGCAGTGGAAGACCTCCTCAGGCAGGGCAGGAGGTTGCCTGATTGCATCTTGAACTTTGAGAATACACTTTGTAAGAGCAGCAAAGAGCTTTGACTCCAAAACATTGATTGCAAAGCCACTCCTCAATGCTACTTGTTTCAAAGTATGACCTTCAGTCATTTTGGAGGTACTTTCAAGAGACCTGAGTTCATTAGCTCAAATTTTAAAACTCACCCAGATGACACCACAACCAAACAAGACATATGCGCTAATTGCCTGCTGAACAAAGTCTGTAAGATACACTGATTATTTGGAATTATTCCAATTTTTTTTCTCTCTTTAGAATTGCCAGTTCACCTTGACACAAGGAACTATGTCTTCCCCTGCCCTTCTTATCCCTTAAAATGATTCAACATATGTCCAATTCTTACAGTAGAATCTTGACCCTTGCAATCAAATTGACTATGTTCTTGACATTGCCTAAGTCAAAGGAGGAACCAGGGAAGCAATAGGAAAGAGCTGTTGGTCTTTGGTCAAGTGCTTAGTGCTACCTGATATGACCAGCAGCAGCCTCCCTCAGCAGTTAAAATCCAATATTTTCCCAGTAGCTTGATCTGGAATGTGGATAGGTCATGTTCAGTGAAGATATAACTCAGTAAGGCTCAGCCATTACATACAATAGGCTCTCCTAGTTACATGCAAGCAGCAATTTTTCCAAAATGCATGCAACTTATTTGTAGTCAGTCAGACTTTTATAGGGATGTACCTCATCCAAAGACATCTTTATTCCGAGATCTCATGCCCCTTCTCCAAATCAAAAATCCACAGAACTTTAAAAAAGCCAGCAAAAATTCCCAACAGAATTGTTTGAATGGGCTACAGGATGCACTTTTATCTTTATTTTGTTGTGAGTAATACTCAAAGATACAAAAGGTACCTGAGGCAAATAGCATCCTTAAAAGGAAAAAAAAAAAACAAAACAAAACACCTTACCCCAGCACTTAAAATTGCCAAAAGTCCTAAGCAAATTCAAGTAGGCCACAATGACCTCATGTGAACATACTCTGTTTTTGTACATATCTCTAACAGATTGAGATAGTTACCTCCCACAAATTAGAAATGATAAATAAACCCTTGACAAGAGTAGAGAGTGAAGGTGTTTATTATTCTCTTTTAAGAGGAAAAAGGTGATCAGGTGGTCTCTGAAGGCAAAAGGAATTGAATAAAGGGCCAGTGCGTAGATGCTCAGCCTCTTTCTTTGTGTTCTCTGTTTGGTGTCTGTTTTGCTCTGCAGTGCACTCCCCTTCTGCCTTCAGTATTAGTCTACAAGGAGAGCTGAGCTGTTGCTCAGAACTCTGACACGATCCATGATTAAAGCAAGGCCTTGATCAAATGCAGTTTTCAGACTCTTAGCTTGCTATTCTATGCAAGAGAGTGACTTTGTCACACCACATGAATCAAAAGCCCAACTGGATGCTGTTGTAAATAAAAACACTTTAAACAGCAACGAGAACAATAAGGAAAAATGAAACTTTGATCAAGCTACAGTTAATTGATTAAAATGTCCATTTCCTTGTCCTTTCATGTCTAAGCTTCAGTAAACAACATGAGAGAGCAGAACCCAGCATGCTGTAGTAGGAAGGAGGCCACAAAGGAAAGCCTGGCAAGTAAACAAAGATTAAAAAGGGAAGAAAAAAATAGATTATGCAGAATAAATACAGAAACCTACTGTGCTCATGCCCAGAAGCTTAACCCAATTCTCCAGCTATGCCACTAAAAGGCAGAGGAATTTATAATCATCAGCAAAACACAGACTCTTATTTGCATTCATTTTTCTCACAGTAACCATACCAATTCTTTTCTACCAAACTCACAATGCAATTTGTACAAAACTAACCTAGTATAATGCTTCCAATATCAAAAGGAGTAAGCACTAGGAAAGAATATTGACTTTTGTTCTAATGAAATCTGAAAAGAAACCTTGTCTTTGGGTAACAAATAAACCAGGTTTTCCACTGTGTTGAAAGCAAAATTGCTATAGTTGCAACTTCTCTCTCATTCATCTGAGAGGTATCAGGATGGTCGC